GTGGGGGGCCGGGGGCGGGTTCCCGCGCTTCTGAGGCTTTGCAGACCACAGGCACCCGGTCTCAAGCGGCAGCAGCGGCGGTTCCCGCGCTTCTGAGGCTTTGCTCTGGCAAAGCCTCAGAAGCGCAGGAACCCGCCCGGTGCCCCTGGTCTGCTGGAGACGGTCTCCAGCAGACCAGGGGCACCGGAGCAGCTTACGAATGGGGCTTTCTCGCCCCAGAGCTCGCAGGTAGCAATCCGCCACCTCGACCTCCGGGGCGAGAAAGCCCCGTTCGTAAGTGCGGATCCGACATAAGTCGGATCCGCGTAAGTCGGGGACTGCCTGTAGTTCTCACACACAAAATCAATTTGGTTCTTTAAATTAGAATGTTGTTACAAACTTTCCATTATATTAAAATGTTCCATCAGTCACTTTTATTTCTTCAGATAGTTGCTCATTGACATCTGTTCTCATATTTGATTTCTGAACAACTCTCACTATGGAGAGAGATTAAACCATTGGAACAATTTACAGTGTCTGTGGTGGAGTCTCCATTACTGGAAACTTTAAAATCAAGATTGGCTGTTAATCATGGGGCTTGTACAGTCCACAGGAGACATAAGGTTGTTTAGCTTTTTGGATCCCTCCCCTCACAATGTTTTTCCTTGGTAATAACTCAGAGTTCTCTTTTCTTCCCCAGCACTACTCCATGACAGCTTGATTCCAGTGAAGCTGCAGTGCATCCTTTTTTTTTCTTCTTCAATTAAATGTGGGAAAATCACAGGGTAAGGGGCTCCTTGATGTCTAACTGAGTTTCCTTCTTCAATTAATTGTGGTAAGGGGCTCCTTGATGTCTAACTGAGTTTCAGCAGGCCTGTTGTCAATCTGTATCGAAAAGGTGTCTTGTAAGGTATCTCATACAAACTGGTAACATGCTGGTCATTAATATTATTGTGTGGTGTGTACAGGAATGATACATGGAAAAATTATAAAGATATGGTGGAAATTAGGGATGCGGGCTGTGCACTATAAAGCTTAGCTTAGCTGTGTACTGCGAAATCTGCAGCAAAACTTCCTGGAGAATGGGCCCACCAGCCCTTGGAGCCCAGCTCCCGAGGAGGAGACTTTGCTGTCTCAGTGAAGTCTCCTACCTAGGAGCTGAGTGGGCAGCCCTTGCCCAACCAGCTTCCTGGGTCGGGATGTTTACACTCAAAAGACTAACCGTTTAACAGATAAGCAAATGCTTATTGGTTAACAGTGTTGGTTGCACTCTGCTCTGCTCCCGGGGAGGAGGTTTCATTGTCCTGTCACAGCAAAGCTGCCTCTCCAAGAGCCAGCTGAGTGTAACCAATACCATTAACAGATAAGCATCACCTTCATTGGTTACTCGGTTGCACTCTAGCATCCCTGCTGGAAATAGGTTCTTAAAATCTATTTAGTAGGTGGGAATTAAGTCACTCCATCTTACACAAAGGAATGTGATTTTGCTTTCTTGCATGTACAGGCAGTATAAATAGAGCAAGAGGAGAGAACGAGGATATACTGACGTAAAAAGTAAACATAGCCATCAAATTAGCAAGATGGGGAGATAGAGACATTCATATGAGGGTGGCGGAAAGTGCAGAAATTATCATGGCACTATCTCCTTGGTGTATGCAGCAAGCTGAGCCCCCCTCCATCCAGTGAGGGCTTCCTGACGTTGAAGACAAAGATAATTTTGAAGATATAAGCAGTGTGCGCCAATTTGGCATCCTTCACCTGAAGAGAAAAAGAAACAAAGTGCTTTAGGCACTTGCCAGCCATGCTGGAAGAATAAGTGTGGTGAGAAATTGTTCTGAATAAGACTCATTTGGTAAGTTAGATATTAGCCTTAAATGAATATTTTTACTTTGTAAATATTTCTATCCCTATCCCCTTTACTTGGTATCATTAAACATCTGTTCTTTGTTAATAAATGCAACCTTGTTTTGTTATTCAGTCATCTCAGTGCAGTATTTTAAACTGAAGAGAAAAAAATCCTCAGCCAGCCTAACGTATTATTGATGCGTACTGTCTCTTTCAAGGAGCAGCAAACTTGAGAAGATTTTGTTAGTGCTATAGGAGAGGGCCTGAGCATTGCAGAAGAGATGGTTTTGGGTAGAAGGGGTGGTTTTGTGGAAAGCCAGGGATTGAAAGGGCTGCTTGTGCTTCCTTGCAAGGAGAAACCAGCTTTGTGGTAAGCCAGGGTGAAATTGTGCTGAAAGCAGGCTACTGGTATCAGAGCTCTATACCGCACAGAAGCCCCAGGGTTGCAGGACATGTTGTGACAACCCTTTTTATTGTTCTGAGTGAACCCCCCCAAAGTGTCAGAATGCCAAAGGAACAACTTCTTAGTGTCCAAAACAACTTCTCCAAAAGTTACAAAGACAAGACTTGAGATTTCTGATACTGTACTGTTAAATAAAATAAAAGCAGAAAATAAAGCTCTGAGAAGAAATTTCAGGTCTTCTTTGAAACAAAACAGGGCACAAAACTCATTTTCTCCTTCTTCTCTAGGTTACTTTCCTAGGACTCAGTTTCCAAACATTTCACTATTGAGCTGAATGGTCTTGTTTCCCACGGTGGAACAGTTAATGATACAGGTTGAACCTTTCTTGTCCAGCACTCTCTGGTCCAACAACATCCATGGTCCTGCATGATTTTAGTTAGCTGGATGTCTACTTACCATGAGTGTGGCCAAGTTTCCCACGGTCCCATAAAGTTTGTTTACAGCCACTAGTCCCGGCTGTCGGTGTCTGTGCTGTTATTTAGCTCTAATTTACCCTTAAATGCCCAGTAAGCAGTGGACATGTTGGTAATATTACTAGACAATACTGACCTCCCACGGTTTGGCAAATTCTCTGGTTTGGCATCAGTTAGGTCCTGAGGGTGCCAAAATAGAGACGTTCAACCTGTAGTAAGAACTGTGCTTGGTAGTAAGCATTTGTTGGTTTGGGTATTAAAGATGCTCTTGTGGTAAAATCTTAAAGGTTCTGAAGACAATTGAATACAAGTGATAGAGGTTGAAATTCTTTAAAAGGTCTTTTGTGGTAACTGATATTTTTTGGTTTGGGAATTTTGTCATTGTCCAAACTGTGTTCATTGATTGTTTTTATTTTAAACAGTAGAAAGAAAGGGAATGGTCAGAACACAAATTATGAAAGTGTTCATCATTGGACTTGGAGGGTAAGTGCAAACCAGTTCGGTCTCTCTCAAAGCAAAAATGTAAGATTGCCTCAAATGTCATATTGCAGTCTAACAATCCCTCAAATGTCATATTGCAGTGTATGAATTGTGTGTGAATACAGCTGTCTTTAAAAAAAAAATTAAAAACTTAAGCTTAACACTGTCAATTTATTATATGTAATTTTTGATAACTTGTTCTACCCTCTGTCACAGATTGACCCTCTCAAACATCAGCTCTAGTCTTTGTCTTTTCCATAGTCATATAAGCCAACTAAAATGAATTAGGACAGGGGTAGAGAACTTTTTTTTGGCCAAGGGCCAGTGACCCACAGAAATATCAGTTGGGGGGGCTACACACAAGTAAGAAACAAAACAAAACTCACTTGGCTCCCAAAAAGCGCGCGCGCACACACACACAAGACACCTCACTCCTAGGGTTGCCAGGTGTCCGGGTTTGAACCGGACAGTCCAGTACTTGAGCTTTCTGTCCGAGAAACAAATTGAGAAAATACCGGACATATAAATGTCCAGTATTTTCTAATTAGGTAATTTTTTTTTTAAATTATCAGGAATATCAGTACGGCGTTGTGTAATGCCTGGCTGGTAGACACGCTCACACTGCCTGAACATGACTACCAGCCTGGCAGTATTCAATTACACAGTAGAGAGAAGGGGGGCGGGGAGGGATGGAATCCCCAGGGCCGGACTTGACTGCGTGCCCCGCCGGGACAGTGCACGGGACGGGCAGCACCCCAGCATCTGAGTGTACCCGGGCCAGCCCCGCTCCCCGCCGGGTGGTCCCCTCCCCGACCAGTCCTGCTTCCTGCCAGCCGGTCCCCCTGCCCCGCCCAGCCCCGCTCTGCTCCCGGCTAGTCCCCCCCACCTTCCGTTCTGAGATCACGTATGGCTGGGATTTTTTTGAAACCCATCTGGTAACCCTACTCGCTCACACTCACCTCGGGTGCTGGGGCTCTGCTTATGCTCCAGGCCAACACGGGTGGGGAAGCCCGGTGCGAAGGCTTACTTTTCTCTGGCCTGCAGCAAGCCAGGTGTTGGATCCGGTGCATAGGCAGGAGGTTCCCCAACCCTGAATTAGAAGATGAGTCATAGGACTGGAAGGGAGTTCAAGAGGTCATCTAATGTAGTCCTCTGCACTAATGCAGGATTAAGTATTTTTCAAACAAACGTTAGGAAACCGCAAACAGTATTTAATATTTTGAATAAAATTAGATCTTGTAATTGCTTTGACATTGCTCTCTTACATTATTCATTATTTTTGTCCTGACACATTGTTTGTTTCGTTTTCTAACTCAGTGTGACAAATGGGGGAAAAACAACACTGGCAAAACGACTTAGCAAACAGCTTCCAAACTGCAGTATTCTTTGTCAAGATGACTTCTTTAAGGTAACAGAGTTGATGGAAAGATGTCATACATAAAAGTAGACTTTAAATGTGGTTCCTGCAAGACAACATTTGTTTTCTTGCTCTACTAGTATGTGACTATTTAAAATGAATCCTGTTCATAATAATTTATATTGAATCTATATGGAGGATGGGTAAATAAAATTAAGAATGTTGTACTCATGTTTAAATGTTCAGTTGCCAGAAAAGATTAGGAACCTGACCAACAGAATAATTATCCTGCTGTGTCCTCCGGTATTATGTTAAAGGTGAGATAGAGAAACAAATGTATAACAGGCAATGTTTTGTGCTGCCACAATTTGTATTAATTTTGTAGTTCATTTTTCACTCTAGATAGAAAATACATACAAAATAGCAACAAAAATTTAAATACTGTTGTTTGTTTTCTTATCTCTTAAAAAAAAATACAAAAGGATAATTGTTTCTGTATCTAGATGAGTGAGAGCACCCAGTTCTTGTTCCTGGTATGGTTATTGTTCTTGAGTGAAATTGTAGTTTATACAAAAAGTTAATATTAAAATCCAGAGATGTTTGTGTTTATATGATATGGTATATATGTTCAATATCAATTTCAGTAGGTCAGTGTATAATTGGTACTATTTTGGGTGGCTATGGGAAAGATTACTTTTTAATTGAAGAATAATTCGGTGGGATCCTATTGATACCACGTTTAAATTTAATGTTACGTTGCAATCCACTGTTTACGAAAAATACTGTGAATACGCTATTACTCTATTACTGTCTCCCCCCACGCCAAACACTTCTTTGGTTCCTTGTTTTCCCCCCGCCCCTGCTACATTTTCTGCTTTGTATCTTATTCACCTAACCCTTCCTCCAGCCCACTCACACTGGCCTTTCAGCCTTTTACCCATCCCCACCATGACTATTACACAAGGCAATTCAGAGTAATGGGGTTACTATTGCCTTTTGACCTGATAACTGCCTTCAATACATATTTTCTCTCTAGCCAGAATCTGAAGTAGAAGTAGACGAACGTGGATTTAAGCAGTATGATGGTTAGTAGACTGGATATATTGCTCATGAACATTGTATTGAAATGTCAGCTGTAGTTTATTAACTTCTTTTTTTTTCTTTCTCAATAGTGGCGTCATTTGGGATGATCCTTTGCTATTTTTTATTTAAAAATTTTAGTGGGGTACGTCTGGCAATAAACGAAGAAAAATAATTTGATAGAGGATTTTTTCAGGGTGTTGGTTTAACCAAAAAAATGTTTTAAAAGGTCACAGTCATCATATTGAACAGTATAATATAGCAAACCTTGATTTGGCCATTATTCAATATTATTAATTTGGAATAGCAATAATATTTTCTTTCCTGCATTTATTACTGACTTTGTCTTTCTGCTTTGCAAATTAGCTAGCCCTTTGTTTCTACAGTAATAGATCTCACTTAGCATAGCAAATTATGAACATTTTTTCTGGTTATAGTATGTATCTAAAGTTCTGAGTAGCTGGTTCTCCAAACTGCTGCTTCCAGTGCTTTCCTTCCTAGATGCTAGTTGAACTGTCTGCAGCAGTCCTGATTCTCTGAAGTTCCTGGTGCCCAGGCACTATGGGCCCATAGAACATATCACCCTCGCTCATGATATCCTAAACTCCCAATGTGAAGTCACTGAGAGTCAAGGCTGCTTAGCACCTCCCACAATCAGATCCCAAATCAATCAAGATCTGATCCAAGTTTCAACCTTTTTCTTATGCAAGAAGTCTCTCTGCAAATGTGTTGCAGATTTTAACTAAAGATGAATCCAGATTGCAGTTTGAGATCTGTATCTAAACTTTAAATTCTAGGCTAGCCATGATTTCATTCAGTCCCTCTCTAATTAAAAACCTGCAATTTAATATCCTGTAGATAATCTTAAGATTTTTCTGTATTACTTGGGTATTTATGACATTAGCGTAAACCCAGAATTCTGTGTTTACTACCCACGTTCATCAGCAGTGTAACTTTCCGTTCATCTGGGACAGCTAGATGAAATCAGTTGGATGTTTTGGTTCATGTGTTCAAGTTCAGTGCTGTTGTTCAGGATTCCGGGACTAAATGAGAGTGTTAACGTTTAATTTTCCATTTATTTTAAATTAACACTACTTCTTAACACCTACGTTTAGGTCTTAAACTACTTGTCAGGGCTCCTTCTTAACTCAGAAATAATGAAAAAAGTTTTAAAAAGCCCAAATAAAATGCTTTAACTTAACCTTTTGTGTCCTTTCTAGTACTTGATGCTCTTTATATGGAGGAAATGGTGAGAACCATACACTCCTGGATGAAAAACCCGACTGACTCCTCTGTCTCAATAACAGAGTCAAAGAGTACACATAAGAGTCTGAAAAGTACAGAGGATATTCACATTTTAATAGCTGAAGGTTTTCTTCTGTATAACTATGAGTAAGCAACACTATCGTATCAATAACTTTAAAATGGCATGTTAATATAAACTGTAAGTGGAGGTGAAATATAACTATGAGTAAGCAACACTACCTTACCAATAACTTTAAAATGTCATGTTAATATAAACTGTAAGTGGAGGTGAATAAGGAAACAAAATGACCAAAGATACTATAATCTTAGGCCTCTTAATGAAGTATGGGATAGAAGATATTTTCTGACCATTCCGTATGAAGAATGCAAGAGGAGAAGGAGGTAATGCTTTAAAATTATTGCTCACTTCAGATCACCATGTCCTAGTATTCAAAAGATAGAAAAGTTCCTGTATGCCAGTGTGTTCTCTCACATCCACCAAATGTAACTACTCTTAAAGCTCCTTCGTGCTTTCTTGTGATTTTGATCAGGTAGTGAGCTCTGCCTGGCTGCTATTTCAGCCCTAAGGATTCCCAGGGATGTTTAAGCAGCATCTGTACCACTCAAATATATAGCTCAATTCATTATTTATTATTAATTATTGTGATGGTGGTGGGGGTACTAACCATTGTTCAGGCTGCCAACATACAGGCACAAAGTAAAAAGCCCCTCACTCGAAGAATTTAAAATATAAGTAAATTACAATATAACTGCACTTGAGCACTGTTCAAGAGGAGACAGAAACAGATAAAAACAAAGCATTTACTGTTGAGGTTACAAGAAGCTGTGGTACCACAAAGTTGCTCAGTGCAGAATTGATATGCCATTACATTGTGTGTTATTTGAGTTAGATATTGACCCCTTTCTGCCTTCAGTTAGTATTGCAAATCTGTAGTTACTGATGCGAATATGTTTTTGATGGTGTTATTGTCGAACAGGGATATTCAATTTTGGAAGCCTTGGGGGCCATAATGATGCTCTGAACACATGCAAATGCAGTGTGGTGCATGTGCATGCAAATATATATGTAAATAGCCTCTTTCACACTGATGGGCATGAATACAAAGATTAAGCCTTAAGTCACAGTGCCAGACCCAAATATGGCCAGTGTGAGCCAGTCAGCACCTCTCAGGCTCTACCCACAAGGCTAAGCAGCCAGCACTTCCCACAATACCCCGGCGCTCTCTGCACCTCCTTCCTGGGGTCTAGATACGCCGACACCCTGTACCCGTCTGTTCCAGCCAGCCCATCCACTTCCATCTGTCACTTCTCATTTTGTCTGGTAGATGCCTTGCTGTTGTGGAGCATGTTCCCAGTGGAGGCCTCTCATTATGCCTGGGAGATGCCTTGCCGTTGTGGAGCATGTTCCCAGTGGAGGCCATGTTCAAAGGATCCCAGCTGGGGGCCGCGTGTTGAGCCCCGCGTAAACCCAAACTGTACCATGGGCTGCAAACAAACTGACTGCGTGCCGCGTGTTGAGTAGCCCTGTTGTAGAATGACACAAGTGTATCTCAGGTCAGAATTTGGTTCACTAATCACAGAACTACCATATTCATAATGGCTTATATTTTGAAGTGACTAGTAGATTTTGGGTGCCTTTCTTTCTAGAAGCCCAATTTAAGAAACTTTAAAGGAGCTCAGTCATCAAAAAGTGGGTATTCTGCATTTCTGAAAACCAGGCCCTCTAAGGAAGTGGCTCTAAATCAGAGGTGTGCATATCCTTGGGCTGTGTCTACATTGGCAAGTATTCTTGCACAAGAGGGCCAGTGTAGACAGCAACATTAATTTCTTGCGCAAGAAAGCCCGATGGCTAAAATGGCCATCGGAGCTTTCTTGCACAAGAGAGTGTCCACACTGGCATGGATGCTTCTGCGCAAAAGCAAATCTTTTGCGCAAAGGCACATGCCAGTAAAGACGCTCTCTTGCGCAAAAACTTTTAACGGAAAAACTTTTCCGTTAAAAGTATTTGCGCAAAATCATACCAGTGTAGACGCAGCCTTGAAGTCTTCCAGAGCAGTGGTGGGACATCGGTGGTCCACTGGCTGCCTCTATCAGAGGCTGCCCTTTGGGCACAGAGCCAGAGGAGGATGCTGCAGAGTAGGGATGTTAGATATAATGTAACAGCATAGTCATGTAACTGCATAAATTATCGGTTATACAACTATTCAGTAGTTCCTGAGGGCGGGGCCAGCAGTCTGCGCTCCAGCCCCACTCTGGGGAGCCTCCTGCCACTCTACGCTGCTGCCTCTCTATCAAAGGCAGCAGTGCGGGGTAGCAGGCGGGAGCTGGTCCACGGGGGGAGCCAGTTTAAAAACCAGCTCCCTTTGTGAACCAGCTGATACAGAGGCAGCAGCGCCTGTCCGTGAGGGGGTCCTAGCTTCTCATTGACGGAGGTTGCTCTGCGGGGAGCTTGGACCACCTGTATATAGGGGCTGCTGCTGTGAAGCAGCCTCCCCTTCTTTCCCTTGCCCCCACTTCCCCACTCTGCTGCCTCTGATTGGGGGAGGGTGGGCGGCAGGCCGCACTGTGGAGCCAGTGCTGGGGGGGAACCCAGCTTAAAAGAGCCGTGGTGCCACCTGTCTCCCCTCATTGTCTCTGTAGGATGTGGCAAGATGGGGGCAGGCGGGTCTGTGGCAGCCCATACATGCAGAGACTGGAAAAGGGCAAATATTGTGCCCATCTATAAAAAGGGGAATAAGAACAACCCAGGAAACTACAGACCGGTCAGTTTAACGTCTGTCCCAGGGAAGATAATGGAGCAGGTAATTAAGGAAATCATATGCAAACACTTGGAAGGTAATAAAGTGATAGGGAATAGCCAGCATGGGTTTGTGAAGAACAAGTCATGCCAAACTAATCTGATACCTTTCTTTGATAAGATAACGAGCCTTGTGGATAAGGGAGAAGCGGTGGATGTCATATACCTAGACTTTAGTAAGGCATTTGATACGGTCTCGCATGATATTCTTATTGATAAACTAGGCAAATATAACTTAGATAGGGCCACAATAAGATGGGTGCATAATTGGCTGGATAACCATAGTCAGAGAGTTGTTGTTAACCTCTAAAAATTTGAAATGTAGGTCAGACCCCTTTGGAAATCTTAGATGTACTCTGTGGACCCCCATGTTGTCCACAGATCACAGTTGAAAAATCACTGTTCTATGGCAACAATGACCTTTTACAGACCCTCATGGACATAGTCTGTGGACGACATGGGTCCACAGGCCTGAAATTGAAAAACACTGGCCTGCACCATTAATGACCCAAGGGAGCCTTATTCTTGAACCTCATTGAAATTTCTTTACATAGTTAAAGAATCTATACTATAAATATTACTGCATCAGAAATAATTTCTGGTAAGTCTTTAAAGTCATTGAGCCAAATTGACTTTAGATACTTGCACACAGCACACTGAATTCAGTGAGAGTTGTACTTGTTAATGTGAAAGCAGGATTTGGACTTTCCTCTTGCGGTATCTATGAGACAATGTATGTGTGCCTGTATCTATAGTGTAGACGCTAAATTCCTTGTATCTTTGTAAAGTAGCCACACTATAAAGCCCTGTATAGACAAAGTGAAAACTGTAGTAGGATACTATGAAGCAACTCCATGGAATATTTGCAATTTCGTAAAAGAAAGGATTTAATGTTCTCCCTTCATTGCTGTACTTTGTAAATTAAATAATCTGGTAATATAAAAATGTATATAGGTACTAGTTCTAGTTATATCTGAGACTAAAAAGCCATTGAAAGTTGTGTTGTGAATGTAATACTATAACCATTTTGAAAGTCTCAGAGAGGTAGCCATGTTAATCTGTAACTAACAAAATTTTAAAAACAACAATGGTCCTGTAGCACCTTAGAGATCCACATGGGTGGATCCTTACAGCTGCTCACAACCCAGCTAAAGTGAAATGTGGGTTCTTCTGCCCACAGATAATATGGCAGGGCTAAGCTGTTAGTGGACTGAGGGCAGATCTACACTGAACCTGGAAGGAAGGCTTAAGGTACACAACTGCAGCTACGCAAAATGCATACTTGGAGTAATCTTACCTTAAGATGAGCCGTGGTGGCGTCCACACTGAGGGAGGCTGACACTGCTATATCAGAGGCAGCATGGTGGGGTGGAGGAAGGTAAGTGGAACGGTGCTTGTGGGAAGCCTGCTTAAAGCCAGTTACTCACGCCCCCCCCCCCCTCCCCCCCCCCCCCCCGATACAGAGGCAGCGAGGGATGGGGGAGGGGTATGTGTGTAGTTTATAGGATTAACCAATAAGGTCAGGCTTATTAGTTAGTTATCTACTCATCTAAATGCTAACATCCCTACTGTGGCAGCCCCAGTCTCCCTGTGGACAGACACTGCTCCATGGGATGCCTGCACAGTTTTTGTCCGCAGGGAGCTCAAGCCCCCCACAAACAGAAGATGCTGCCACAGAATAGCCTTAGTCCATGGCGGGCCCAGGCTCGCCATGGACAGAAGCCCCGTACCTGGAGACTATCAAATAATTGTGTAACTGCAAAGTTTTGATGTCATTACATGATTATTCAATTAATCAATAGCTAACATCCCTAGCTAGAACACTTTTATATTTTTATGTAAGATTTTGTAAAGCAGGCTTAAAATGAGGTGAAACTTGGTATATGCAAGATAAATCAGACTCCTGAAAAGGATATGGTAGTCTGGAAAGATTGAGAGCCAGTGCTCTAAGATGTTGCAAGTTGAGCAACCAAAATCACTAGTCACTTCTGAAAATTTAGACCAATATGAAAAATATGAACTGTTATAGCATGTGGTTTAGCTATTCTTATACAATTTACTTATGCAACAAAGTTTTAATTAAGAAATAACCTCTTTTTCAATAAGAATCTGCTCTTTCTTACCCAGTTTTGGAGCTAAAATAATAGGCAGAAACAGGAGATTTGATGATGGTCACGTGGCTAATTTGCTAAATCCTATGGTCACTAAAGAGCCTCATTTGCTGTGACCATTAGAAACACAGCCTTACTTACTCTCTCTCAATATTTTGGATAGATATTTTCACCAAGTAAACAATGCAGAGTATATGAGCGTACACTAGGAAAAATGTAAAAGTTTCATAGGAAATCAAATATATTTTTCTATAGTACCAGAGTTTATCAGCCGGCAGATCCACCAGGATACTTCGATGGACATGTATGGCCTATGTATCTGAAACATAAAAGGGAAATGGAAGAAAATACAAATAATATTGGTATGGCATGCATCATCTTTAAACATATTTAAAAATTAAATGTAGCAATTTTTGCAAATCACTTTTTCAGAATTCTTTTAGCATTTATGCAGCAGTTTTAGATGCATCTATCGTCTGTTCATGGATAAGTGATCTTTTATTCTGGAAAAATCTTGTAGTGATCAAGTCACCTTTGTGGGTTGTAGAAATTAACAAAAATGTATTGGCCATGTGACAAATCCATTTACATGTGTGTAGTGTTAACAAGAAAAATTCTAGGGCGCTTTATGGTTTATGGTATTGATGAATCAGAATGTGGCTTACAATTCTGATTGATATCTTAGAATAAATGTAATAGATTTCTCCAAATTGTACACAGTCGCATTGCCAGGCCATCACATAGTCTGACATGAGAAATATCGGTATTTTAGAGTTTTGATGGAGCTATGTAGGAAAATTTGCATAATGCTAAGATAATAATGTTATTAGAGCATGAGCCTCCAATATATAGTTTACTTCCTGCAAGGCAGTGGACGCTGAGCACATTCAGCTCACGTTGAATAGCAGTTAGGCATGCTCACACTTTTTGTGATCAGGTGCTAAGTTCTTCCTTCTATTATTGATCAATATCATACTAAAGATTTTTATTTATCAAAAAGGTTAATGATGAAGTTCATCCCCATTGAAAGAGACCCTGTGCATCAGGTAGGAGGGATACACAGAGGCTCTTATAGGCTCTCTACTAAGATGAACTGTGTCAAAATAAATGTGTGAATTAGATGAAGCACATGTTTCAAAATTAGTGGAAGTAACAGACATAGGATAGATGGAGAGAATATAAACTCCCTTAAAAAAAAAAAAAAAAAAAAAAAACGGCCTTGATGTATCATCCCAAAACAGAGGTGTTCCTGTGGATCTAAAAAAAAAAAACGGCCTTGATGGATCATCCCAAAACAGAGGTGTTCCTGTGGATCACTTTCAAATGGATTATGCTGGAATTATGGGACATATAAATCATACTTTATTCTTTAGCTGTGTCCTTGTTAGAGGTAACCTATTCTAATATAGATTTACAAATAAAATCTATTCCATCAAAGTATCTTTGCTTTTTAAATAAAGACGATAGCAAACCTGGCTAGCTCTCTCATTTTTAAAAGCTTTTTGTTTAAAAGTGAAAACCTTTACTCTATCTCTGGTAGAATCTGTTTGATAATGTTCTTTCTTTGGGGAGTGCTGCTGTTTTCTCTTGAGAGGCTGAATTATGGAACTTGTATTTTTTATTTAACTATGAAATGAAGTAGGAACTGATATCTTGTGCCTAGGGAGACCAACATCCCCACTATGTAGGCAGGAGATACTGAACTATTTTCCAAATTCTGGATTTTTTTTCTGAAAAACCAAAGAGAGGAGAATGAATGTAGGGTTCCAGAAAATGAAGTGTTTATTAAACAATCACCTGCAACATGGGTTCTTACGCAGCAATCTGAGAAAATGAGGTTTAACTGTTTGAAGTGAAGCTAGTAGTTCCCAATAAGAATGTTAAGGAATGGGTATTTTGCTAATTGTGTAGTGGATACAATTAGTATCAATTACATGATTAGTCGATAAGGGCAAGCTTGCTCTGGGACCACTGCACCTCTGTATTTTAAATGTAGTAAGATCCCGCTGGCTCTTACTACATTTAAAATGCAGAGGTACAGCAGTCCTGGATCTGTGCAAGCCGGGTCCAGCAGCCCCTGTTCGTGAGGGCTGGTGCCAGAGCAGCCTCCCCTCCCACTGCCTCTGATAGAGGCTGGGGAGGAGAGGGGGGGAAGAGGGAAGGAGGAATGACAAACAGGAGCCAGTGCTGGGGGGAGCTAGTTGTAGTTTGTTTTAATTACTAATATTGTGATTACTTTTCTTTTCTCTTCTTTTCTCTTCTGTGTCAGTTTATTTGGATGGAACAAAATCTGAGGAAGATCTTTTTTCACATGTGTATAATGATATAGTACAGGAGCTAGAAACATGGAAAAAGTAAGTCATCTTACAAGTAATTGGAATAGGACTGGAGAACTCCTTCATAAAAATCTATACTAATATTATGGGATAATGTAAATGCCTAGCATTTTAAGTCTTGTGTTACAAAACTTTTACGTTTTCCTAAATAGAAAGCAAAAATCTAAAGAAATAGGATAGCTGTGGTCTGATCTTAACCTTTGCTTTAAAATATGTAGAATCCCTGGAATCCCTGGAACCAGTATTGGCTTAGCAATTCATCCTTCTGTGGTAGGCTAATAGAATATATTAATCACTTAAGTAAAACTTAAAAAACTGGGCTCATGTTGGTGCTCCTTGGTCAAACTCTATTTAGAGTTGGATTTTGATGAGCTGCTTTGACCCCACTGAAAGTTATTTTATCATTTTAGATCTCCTCTGTGCTGTCACGTTTAAGTACCAATCTTTTTAGTAAAGATTCTGAAATGCCTAAATTCTGCAACACCCACTTTTCATAAGTGGAATAATTAGGTTAGTGGATTTATTTACAGCTAGGGTGAATATGAAGATTCTTCAACAGTGATTTACATATTGAAGAACGGGAAAATTTAGTAAATTTGATTTTGCTAATCCCGTATTTCATGTCTTTATTTGGTTTGCAGTTTTGGAATGACTTTCTTCTCTCTGAATTCCCGCAATTATATAGTGTATCTAGACTACATCCCTTTTTCAAGAAAGGGATGTAAATTAGGCACGTCGATATTGCAAATGAAGCCGAGATTTGAATTTCCCATGCTTCATTTGCATAATGGCGGCCGCCCCTTTATTTCTAAATGGGGCTTTTTTGAAAAAAACCCGGCAGTTTAGATGGGGATCTTTCGAAAATAAAACCCTTTCTCAAAAGATTCTGTAAACCTCATTGGGGTTGGGGTCTGGGAGGAGGAAGAGTATGGGAGGAGACAGGGATTGGGAAGTTTTATCTGGTGCAGCTCCCGTTTGGCGGGGGGAATGGGTGGTTCTGCACCATCCTGCATTTGTAGGCACTGCCCCCCACCACGCCCATTGGCTGTAACTCCCAGCCAATTGAAACGGTTGGGGGGGAAAGCCTGCAGGTGAGAGAAGGGACAGAGAGCTTCCTTGTGCTCGCGGCGATGCAGCTCCCCAGCTGGGAGGGTAACCACAGCATGCAGAGCCACTTGCCTAAACAGAGCAATCCCAGAATGTAGCCCACAGGGGATTTAGTGGCTGCATTCCAGGGCCTGTGCTGCAGTCCCAAAAACCCCTTTCATAATCTGACCCTGTCCATAGCACATGTAATAGGCATGCAGAGAAGGACATAGAAAAATACCAGCTATTCACATAATTGAAAAATAAAAATTAAACAAAAATAATTAAAATACAATATATTGTGTGCATGTGCAATATCCTTATGGATGAGAGACACAATTAGTATCTTTTACTATCTACAAACAAAATGTAAATACTGGTTCTATACTTACTTTAAATCTGGAACAGATCAATAACTGGATAACCTTGCAGAGTTAAGAGAAATATTGAAAGTTTTTAGAGAAAGTAAACAATATATTACTTTCAGCCAAAAAAAAAAAAGTTTTGACAAGATTTGAGCAGTAGAAAGGAAAAATAGTATTTTGAACTTCAGGTGGGTGACAGGGATTGTGATAGACATATTGAAGATGCTATGTAATAGCTTAGAACTGGTATCTTTTATATTTTTAAGATTAGCCGGTCACAGCAAAACCGTGTGAGAAGTTGGGATTCTTTCCATTATGGATTAATAGTCAATTTGGATGGATTGCTTTGCCAGACACCATAAATCTATTGTATGTACAGTAGTAGTTCTTACAAATCCATATTGTACAGTTGTTTGTTGTTCAGAGTGGCATTTGTAACCCCGCGTCAAACTGTAAACCTGATGTAATATAAAGAATTTGAAAATTAATGTGAAAATATAGCCCTGGATATTTCATAAATATATTTTAATAAGTATACACAATGTGCATTATTTAATATGCAAGTAAAATAAAAATATTTTTGAAATTGAAAATCACAAATGCAAAGTAATTGCATGTTAGTAATATAGGAAAAATGGAAGTAATAGCTAATAACATATTTTTAATATGAGTATTCAATGACATGATGTGGTTAAAGAGGCAAAAGCCATTTTGGAAGCGTGTAAATAGAGATATTGCCCTTGAGACCAGAAAGAGAATTCTTTTTTTTTTTACATGGTGCTTGTTAAACTATTGCTGGACGGTTTGGGACACTGTGGAAAGGATATAGATAATCTGAAGAACAATTACTAGGCTACTAGAAAGAGTTTTGGGATAAAAAAAGAGAGGTTGGTAATGGTTCAGATGCATCTGACAAAGTGGTTTTTACCCTTGAAAGCTTATGCCCAAATAAATCTGTTAGGTTTTTTTGCAGATACAGACTAACATGGTTGCCCCTCTGAGATTCATCATAAATGCTTAGATTAGAAATAAATGAAAAGAAGAAATGTGATTAGAAAAGAGAAAAATTATATGGTTTAGAAAAGCTAAAGAATAGTGCCGCCACCTCTGTTATATACAAATATATGCACACAGGGAGGACTTAAATCTATTTGAAAGCCAACTATCTTTTGAGGATTGTCTAGATATCGTAATAATACTCAAATCAAGAGTGCAAACCATCTAACCTTCCAGCCCAGTTCTGGTATTGTTCATTTTCAGGCATTTTGGTAGCACAGAGATGTATTTTTAATTGGGGTATTTTTAGTCTGATGACTATAATATAGTAGTCATCTTGACTGTCTGATAATGAATGCAATAGTAATACTATTAACTAGGAATGTTAACTATTAGGTATTTGTGTACATGTGTAACCACTTGAAATTTTAGTGGTTATACGTTTACATGCAGAGTGGGGGGAAGCAGGATCCGGTGCTTGTGGCGAGCCAGCTAAAAGCTGACTTCCCCGTGAGCACTGACTCCTGCTGCCTCTGATAAAGAGGGAGCAGCAGGGGGTAGGCGACTCCGTGGGAGCCGATATGTATGGGGAGCTGGCTTGAAAGCTGCTTCACATGTACTGGCTCTCACCTGCCTCCTACCCCCTTCACTGCTGCTTTTCTTTCAGAGGCAGCAGTGCAGGGAGGGGAGGGCAGGCAGATCCATGGGAGCCAGTGCTTACAGGCAGCCAGCTTTTAAGCCAGATTCCCCCAAACATCAGATTCCTCCTTGGTGGGAGGTGGCTCTTTGAAAGCCAGCACACGTGGAGGGCTGGCTTAAAAGCTGGCACCCTGCATTTGCTGGCTCCCACCTGACCCCGTCCTGCGGGAGTGTGTATAGTCAACAGGATTAACCAATAAGCCCAGGCTGATCAGTTAATCATGTAGTCAACTATACATTGACATCCCTACTGTTAACAGTAAACAGAAAATACATTTGTGGTGATCTATTAAAACAATGTACATGTATGCAGAATTATGTTCAAGATGAAATACTTTTTAATGTGAATTTCTATCTCAATTTTTTATAAATAAAATACTTTAGTTGTGTTTTCTTGAATGGCTTGCAAGAATAATAAATGGTTTATATATAATACATTTTTCAGAGAGTTGTGCGGTCACATGATAATAAAGCAAGTGTGTATTAAACTAGCTGATATTTGCCAGAAATGTCTTATTTTAAGTGCTCAGAAATTCTGGAGTCTATCCTTGGCTCTGGGGGTAGAAGTAAAATAAGGCAGAAAAAACTAAAATAGAAATGGGTATAACCTATTAACTAACAGTCCTCAAGAGCAATGATCTTTCAATAAATCTTTCTGGTTGTAGCTGTATTTTTAAAGATATATTTGAGAGAGAATGCATTATTGCATAGATCAGTGATTCTCAGCAATGGGTATGCATATTCCTGTGGGTACACAGAGGTCTTTTGGGGATACATCAAATCACTTAGATCCTTGCCTATTTTTACATCAGGCTACGTTAAAAAAAAATCTAGCAAAGTCTGCAGACAACTAGTGAAACTTCATGCAATGACTTGTAGCTGTAGACTATAAACTAAAATAAACACAATATTTATATTCCAGTTCATTTATAATTATATGTTAAAAATACTGAAGTGTCTCAGCATACAATTTCTAGAAAACTGCTTACTTTCTCATTTTTATGTCTGATTTTGTAAGTAAGTAGTTTGAGGTGAAACTTGGCGTATACAAGACAGTTCAGACTCCTACAAATGGGTGCAATAGTGTGGAATGGCTGAAGGACAGTTCCACAGATTAGCTAGTTCAGAAAAAAGTACTCTTTTATTTCCCCCTCCAGTTGAAGAATCTCATTAGATACCTCTGTACCCTTGAATATTCTTATATATTTTAAAAATACAAATGCTATATAGTAATATTGCAAAAGACAGATCTGTTTGTGTAACAGGTAGTGTTTCTGTATTGTGCAGGAGCTCCTACCCAGTGTTGATAAAAACAGGCACTGTAAAATAGAACAATGGCCAAACACCTTTCATTTTCAGATGTACTGGATTTTGTGTGGCTGACCCTTGCCATCCTTGTCATTACCACCGGTTAGAAACAACCCACGTCCTTCCTTTCACACTCTCTGTTCTGACTTTTTGCTTTATAATCGGTTCCAAGACAGGGCTCCTCCTTCCTGCCCCAGTGGCAGTACTGCCCTGGAGTTAAAAAGGAGCAGCGCCTAATAGTGTTATAACAGCTATTGCAGTGTGAGTGTGTTACCTGGGCTGTTAGTAATGAAAGTAGGGTTGCCAAATAGGTGGAACTTTTTCTTTTATAGAAAACCCCTTTCTAACAATCTCTCATTTTCTATTTGGTCATCCTAAGTGGAGGGGAGCAGCAATCCCCCTCCCCTTTATATAAGGTCTGGCCCCTTTTCAAACGTACTTGTCAATGAAAAAATAGCCACCACTGGCTCATTTCCCTCCCCTCCGCCGCCTTAGATACAAACTGTTGCTCCTTTCGCTGCTGCCGTTTGCCTCCTCCTGCGTGGGGCTGCCCTGCGCGCTACTGCTGCAGCCAGGCCGAGTCCCCGCCTCATTAGCCCTTCCCAAGGGCCCCTCCCTCGCTGGTATCTAGGACAAAGGACAGGAGTTGTGGATCCTACCACTAGAGGGCAGAGGTGACACACGCACGCTTCTTCTCCCCCTCCATCACCTCCCCCCTCTACAGTTCGTGATTAAGCCCATGACCCTGCCCTCTCTCGCATTGTCTCGCGATAGCTCAGGCTCTAATAGGCAGGGTGGGAAGGGTTGTTCTGCGGCTGCGCGGGGCGGGCCCGTTGCGTTTCGCCGTTGGCGGGCGGTGCCTTGTGCCCCGCGTCACATAAAGCGAGCGCTCGAGGGGCCGCACGCGGCCTGGGCTGGAAGGCGCAGCTCGCGCTG